CTGGTCCAGGCTGCCTTCACATCGGTAATGGTACAAACAAAAGGGAAGGGAAGAATGAGATGCTACAACCTCTCTACCAAAGCCCCTCCAGTCACCTCTGCTCCTTTATATCATCACGGGCTGTGGATCCTAACAGATGGCCCAAATGAGCCCTTGCTCCTGGCAGCACAGGAGACAGCCTACCCACAGGGATGCCCTCTGTTCAAGCTCTGCTGGGTCTCTGCACTAATCCTTGTGCCCAGCCATCTGAGTTAGTGCTGCAGCATGTCAACCCCTGGTGCATTCCCATAGTCTCTCTCTGCTCTCATACTGATGCTTTCTGTAATTTTCCATTCCTGTGTCTCTGCACCCATGAGTTCTTCCTATGAGGTAGCCACATTTCAGTACTCCCATCACTGCTTTTAAACTGCCCGTATTCCTAGCTTGGACTAATACCAATTTCTGCCACTTACTTGCCTACCTTTCAGCAAGCCCTTCTTTGTTCTGCATAGAAATAAAACTGTAACTGTACCCCGCCAGAAGAATTACTTTTCTAAACCTCCCCCCTCCACTTCCTCCTTTTATTCTTCTTCCTCTTCTTCAGGAGTAATTTTATGTAATTTGCAACTGTCTGGCTGCAAATGAAAAGAGACATAAAGTGTTTCTGCAAGATATTGAAAAGCTGGATGCTTTTCCCACAAATTTCACTTAGCAAGAGGCTTTAACTTGCTGTGTGATCACTGTATGTCATTAATAACCTCTCCAATTCCTTTCAGAACTCAGCAATGTGAAGGCACAATCACGAATCAAAGGCATGGGTTATGGAGATATCATTTCATCAAGCTAGGGACAAGTGTGCCAGTGAGTGGGGAGAAGGCAAAACACTACACTGCTAAGCTGGCTGGCAGCTGAAGACGACACTAGATTTAGGAAGAAGTGTTAAGGGCCTGATTTTCTCTCTGCTTTTCAGATCAGAATATTTTTGCCTCTGTTCAGCCTATATGGGTTGTGCGTCTTTCCCCAAGCCCTGCATACTGAGGCCACAGAGGGAGCTGCTTTCTATTTTGTTCCTTAGGCACATCCATCTCCACCTCTGACAGGCTCAGAAGACTCAACAAACTGCTTTATTAGGACTGAGTCAGACTTAGTTGTGCAGTTCCCCAGCCTGTCCTCAGGGAGCAGAACTGGGGAACAAGAAATGGGATTTTTGCACACAGCAGAGAACCTCGTGGAGGGCGTGGAGGAGGAGTGTGTGTGACTGGCTGGGAGGTAGTGCTGGACAGAGAACTGGCCACGGTGCTGGTGCTGTCTAGGCACTGCACAGTCCCTGTGAGTAAGCTGCCATGTCCTCCCTGCCTGTCACTCGTACCGACTGGGGCAGTGGGCAAACCTGCCTTGGCTGTGCTGAGCTTCACAAGTCACAGTCCACATCACAGGGTGTGGAAGCAGGTTCCCTGCCTGGGTACTCCTCTTGCCCACCCCAGCTGACATAGATACTTGGCATCCTTTTAAGCTCTTTAGCAAGCTTGGGTGATAAGACACTTGCGTTAATTCACCAAGGATGTGCTTTACCTTTCTGTTCTAGGAAGCTCCATCCTTCCTTCCCCAAAGGAATATTCACACATTTGTTATTTCTAGACTGCACTGACAACAATTCAGCAGCTCAGAGGGCAGAACAGGTGTTTTAGATAATACAATATGCAGCTGACTGTACAGGTGAGATTGGCTGAGTTACCATCCCTGGAGCGATTTAAAAGATGTGCAGAAGTGGTACTTACAGACATGGTTCAGTGGACTTAGCAGTGCTGCGTTAATGGTTGGATTTGACAATCTCAGAGGTCTTCTCCAACTTAAGTGATTCTATGATTGCTGCTTTACACCCTGAGCACACTAGCCCATACAAAAGGGTGTAAAAGCCAAAATTCTGTCTATCTCGGAAAGAGATGCTAAGCCTTATTGTCAAAAAATTAGCTTTTCAAAGTTTAAATTCCTTTAGTTACCATACATCCAACAGCCCTTAATTTAAAAAAGAATTCTGATGTCACAGAAGGAGAACTTGCCAGAAATGCCACAGGAGCAAATAGAGATCATGGTGATTCCTACTGATTATGTAACTATATATAACTATAAATACAAAATATAACTATAAATACAAATATAACTATAAATACAGGAAAGCTACACTGCACACATGGCCGTGCAGGAACAATGCGTCCACATTCTTAGACAGGCTGACATCACTGGCATCAGACCTGGAGGGCCTAAGCAATACCTCTGTGGGCCTAGACTTACGTGACAGACTTGGAAGAAAACCCAGAAGTCCTGCTCCAGCTACCTGTTCACAGCCTAAGGACCCCTCAGAAACCATATCAATGCATTTCCACAAATCCGACCTTACCAAATCCTCAGTCTAGACCTGGAAAGTCATTTGTCTCTATTCAGGTTCATGAACTGTTGAGATCAACCACTGCTTTCGGCATTGAGACCAATAAAGGAATGTACTTCTGGCATCTTATACTTGCTTGGTAGTACAACAGTAAGTACAGGATCAACAGAAGATCCTTATTATGCCAGTTTGATCCCTTGTTGTCTCTAAATGTGCTGATGGTTGGTCAGGTGATGTGTTCAGGTGCTGATGCGCTCAGGTGACAGCTTGTGTCACCCTACATTGATGTCATATACCCTTCAACTTTCTTCCTGCTATTGCTCTGTGCAACAAAGAGATAGTATGGGGGTAAAATAAACAAGAAATTACTTGTTTACCAGACTACAGCTCATCTACTCAAATATCAGTTGTGTGGTTCAGTACATTCTGTTCTCTGCCCTATGCTCGGACCCTCACTGTATTTCTTGTTATAGGCTTTACCATAGAGTTCAACAGAAGATTATCTAGATGTGAATGTACAGTGATGAAATTTTACGGCCTTGTTCCCAAAACAGGGAAGCAAATACCCAGCACTCTGACCTATGAATCATTTCAGGAGTATTCTCTGTGATCAGCTGGATCAGAGGAATGGGTAATGCTATACAGACACAAGCAAACCTGAAAGCTTCCTCAGGTCACCAAGACCACCATGTCCATGCCAAGAACAACTCTATGTGCATCTGGATGGAGGTCTGTTCCATTCTGGTAGTTACCATCTCCAAATGACTGCTAAAATGATCAGAGAGAGAGGGAATCATGCCTTCTTGGTCATTGAGGGACTTAACAAAAGAAAAACTAAATGATGTGATGAAGTGGTGTATTGACAGCCTGAAAATAAACAGCTCCAAATGCCACACAGCTCATCTTCATACTAATTCTGAAACATAATTACACCACATTGCTCATTAACTGTCTCCAGACAAATATGTTCAAAAGTACTCTTCTAGCAGACTTCTTACTGTTCCCAGGCAGTTTCTTACACCTCCCTTAACATAAAAAGCCTTTAGATCACCACATCATAGATACACTGCTGCTTCAAATATTGCTCCATGCAGCACAATATAACCACTGAGAGCGCAGACAGTAGGGAAACATGCAACAAATTCCCAGTGTAGAACCGTAGCAAAACTGAGATTGCCTTGAATCCACCAAGCCTCACATGAATAACCTTTCAGAGACCCTCAGTAGGTATTACTAGGCAGACACATTCAGGTGTGTCTGACTTCCCCATTGCATTACCAGCATTGTACCATGATTCTTCATACTGCTCCTCCATCCTCTGACTTGTTCTCACAGACTCTATCAATTCTGCCCCGGACCAACACACACACAAGCTTACATTGCTTTAGTCCAAAAAGCTGACCATTTCCTGTCACTCAAAAGTAACTCAGGCAGATCTGAGCAGCTGGTTATTTTCACTCTTTCTCCTGGCCGTCCCGAGATAAAGATTCTGTTAAGTGGGAATTAAGTTACATGCATTTTCCAATGCTCAAATGCCAGCATAGGCTTATGCAAAAAGGGAGCACAGGTAAACAAATACAGAAAAGGATGTGTGCATGTGGAGGTCTTGAGGGCAGCTGGGAGAGACTAGGGAAGCTCTTTGGACCTATATGGGTTAAAGAGAAAATGTTATGGCTAATAATTCCTAAACCCTCTACAGAGACCCCTGGCTTACATTAACTATTCTGTTGCCTTGAGCACTCAGGGCCTCGCGTGAGCTTCTATCTAAAAGTACCCAACTCCTCCTCCTACTCACCTCCAAATGAATCAATCCTTTCAATGTGCATGATCAACCCCCTCAGCACAGCAAGGGAACTGCCCAGTCAAAGCTATTAAATCATACCAAAATGGGAACGGCAACAATTCAGAATTCCTTTCAGCTCACCAGCAGGTCCCAGGGAGGCAGAGGACTGCCCTGCAAGAAGGGACCTGTTCCACAATGCCTGGCCTCCTGTGATCCCTACTGCACTTTGCTCCCAAGACCAGCTGTGGAGGGAGCAGGACCCAGGAACAGACGACAGCCAGTTCAGCAGTCCTGGTCTCACCTATATAACCCATTTCTCTTCCAAACAGTGGGATGTGGCAAGTGTATTTTTTTCGTCTGATCCAACTCAGATACAGCACTAGAAGTCTGTCCAGGTACCCTGTAGGGCAATGGCAGAGTAGAAGCAGACGCACCAGGAGGTTCTGCACACCTGGAAAAAGGGTTTGGTATCTTGTCTTGTCTCGTGTGAGCTTTCCAGCATGCCCACTGTGCAGGCTCCACCCATGCTCTTCACCCCACAGCCCACAGCTCCCTAGTGATAGGGACAGATAGGTGAAGGTGACATGTCACACCACAGAGAGCAAAGAACAGCATAGAAACAGGCCTAGCCAGAGCTACATGGGGTAGCCTTGGCCAGGCAGAGAAAAAAGCAGCAGCTCTGTGAAGAGCACTGCTGTGCTCCCACTTCTATATCCCTGTTCTAACTCCTGAAACATGTTTCTCTTTCACAAGCAGGAAAATTAATCTAAGCCACTTCTCACCCTTGCTCCCTCCCCGATAATCCCGCATTTGCCTGCCCATGGCATCCAGACACAATTACTGGGGACTTACCCCTGGCAAAGTCTTCTGTTCATGCAGTGCTGTCTGGGCTTTGATGGCAGAGTCTCTGGCACAGTATGTGAGGAATGCACAACCTGCAGTGAATACAGCAAGTGTCAAATTAGACAGGCAATTGCAGATGCACATCAACACAAATGTTACATAATTCGGTTGTGTCTAAGACTCTAGGGAAAGAGACAAAGAAATAATGTAAAAGGACTTGCAGGCCACATCCAAGGTCTGTTAAGTCCTCAAAAAGGGTCCCAGTGAATCAAC